CCCGGGGGACGGGCCGGCAAGCCCCCAGCCGCAGCCCTCTGCTCTGGCGGCGGAGGGGAAGAGTCAAGGCTCTTCCCCTTTAAACGGGTCGTACCAAGTACTGCGGGGTGAGGTTTATCGTGTGCTCTGTGGCGCCCCCGGGCAGCCCGTCGGGCTGGGGCCGGCGAGGAGAGACGAGAAGAAGCCCCGAGACGCGCAGGGTTTTCGTCGCCGTCGCCGGGCGCTTTCCCTCGTTTTCCCATGTCCCCAGCTCCTCCTCTGTGGGGAGGGTGAATAGTTCAGTCCTACCAAGATGGCCGCCACCATGAAGAAAGCGGTGAGTGTGGGAGGAGGCCACGGAGCGGTTTTTTTCTTCCCTTCCCGGCCTCTCCCTCCGCCGCGGGCTCCCCCCGGGGAGGGCGCAGCTCCTCCGCTCCCTCCCGTCGCAGCCCCCCGGGCGGCCGCCCTGTGCGAGGCCGGGGGGCGGGCGGTCCTTTTCCCTAGGCCGCTGCCGCGTCAGGCCCGCTCCGGGTTAGGCCCTGCCGAAAACACCCCGGGACGCTTGTCGGTGGATTAAGGCCCTGGTGTTGTTATCGTGGCCCTGTGGAAATCGCTTGTCATGCCCTACGGATTTGGTTACGGGGCCTGTGCTGGTGGGGCTTGTTGCAAACTGGCAAAAAGCTCCTTCTGGCTGCACAGACAGCCCGTGAAGGGAGGCCCCCCAACCCGCGTCCTCCTGCCGCAGGCCCTGCTGCCACCTCGCCGGTCCGTCGGGGAGGGTCGGCGTGAGCTCGGTGGGTTTCAAATCTCCTGTAGCACATCGTAGCTAATCAGTTAGCATAAAATGATGTTGCTGACAGATTACATCGCCATGTTACGCTGCACCCTGCAGCGATCTTGGAGCAGAGGTGTCCGGTTCAAGTGTCAGTGCTGCCAAGGAAACAACCATTGGCATTGGGAGGCCGTGGATAGCTGGTGTTGGAATTGATGGTCCTTAGGGCTTCTGCCCAGCTAAATGCGGGTATTGCTGATGCCCTTGAGGAGACGTTTTAAGGAATGAAGTGTGTAAGCAGAATGTAGTGGCTCTAAGACTTTTTTCAGAAGCTTTGTAGGAGTCATCTTCAAGATTCAAGTTCATGTAAGAAATGAAGTTTTCATATTGATCTCTCCTCCTTGCAGGCTGCAGAAGATGTCAACGTTACTTTTGAAGATCAACAGAAAATTAACAAGTTTGCAAGAAATACTAGCAGGATCACAGAGCTGAAAGAAGAAATAGAAGTGAAAAAGGTATATCTTCTTCAAATATCACTTATTCTTCCTTGCTCTGAAATAATTTTCAGCTGTAACACAGAAAATAGGGGCTGTGGATTACTGTAAGTGATGCTTTGGTTCTAATATGGGGTTTCTGATACTTTGAAAATAGAGAACATTGAAGTAGAAAAAGAAGTCGTGAGAAATGAAGGCCACTAGTATATTTCTGTATGCAGTTCTTAGAACTCCTTAGTTGTTATACATGAAGTATTGTCTATATATAATGGCTGTTTGTAGTATTCTTAAAATTTCCTGCCTGAGATTGTTCATACTTACTTTTTCTTGAACCAGCAGGGCAGTTGTTTGTTACATTCTCTTTCGATGTGTTGACAGAGTTTGTCATTCTGAGTGCGGAGGTTTTGTTTTGGTAGGCTGAAGAGGATAGATCATTCTAATTTTCTTCAACATCACTTTTCTTCAACATCAGTCATAGCACTTCCAAAGACGTTTTACTGAGTTTTTTAAAAAAGCTAGTGCTGTCACAAAATGCTTCCTGTAATTACTTTGCCTGACACATATATTGTAAAAATGTTGCCTTTTTATGTTGATGTTCCACTGATGGCATAAGGTGCTGGGACTCTTAAGCAATCCTACTTTTGCAATAAAGTAATTAACAGTTATTTTCTTATTCATTAATTTTTTCTGTTCTCTAACTAAATGAAAAAAATCCTGTGTAAGAGAGTATTAGATATTAGTGAAATTTAAATCTGCTGTATTTCTTTTGTCTAGACAGTTAATTATGCTATTAATGACAGATAATGAGTATTGACTAGAAATTTCTACTGTTGCAGCTCCACTGAGTTTAATACTTATGCTAAATTACAGCTCTGGAACTGTTCTATTAAACATGTTGATACCATGCTGGCACGTAGGATTTTTGCCCAAAATGCAGACTCACAGAGTTCATTATTCAGCTGATACCGTGACAATGTATCTGTTGAAATAATTTACCTAGTACAAAGTGACTGCCTTTCTTATGTCTTGATAAATAGAAACAGCTTCAGAATTTGGAAGATGCTTGTGATGACATCATGATGCTTGACGATGGTGATTCACTTCTGATACCCTACCAAATTGGAGATGTCTTCATTAGTCATTCCCAAGAAGAGACACAAGAGATGCTGGAGGAGGCAAAGGTTTGTCTGGGCAAAAGGGAGCTCCTTTACTGCACTGGCTGCTATAGTGTGATAAGTGTTGGAATGGGATGATCTCTTCATCCGTTGAACCTTTTACTTTCTAAAGTTCATGTTTGATTTATGATTTGAGGAGAAGGATGCGCACGCGTGGTAAGTTGTAACTGGGATGTTGGTGTACAAAGTCATTTGGCCCAGTAATGGGTCTTGCTGCCTGATTTGGCAAAAAGCTACCTCTTTATATGTTGCTGACAAATATGACTCTATTTGTTTTACATAACTAGTTGATTTTTTTTTTCTTTTCAGAAAAGTTTACAAGAAGAAATTGAAGCATTAGAATCCCGAGTGGAATCAATTCAGAGGGTGTTATCTGACCTAAAAGTTCAGCTCTATGCAAAATTTGGAAATAATATAAATCTTGAGGCTGAGGACAGTTAAAGGTGTTCTAAATATACCATACAAATTTTCCTTGTTTTATTAAATGTTTTGATAACATTGTTCCAATTACATTTAAAAAAACAAAACACTGCTTTATTTTCTTTTTTTTTTTTTTTTTTTTACTTTCCTGTCCGGTTCCATCTATTTAATGAAAGCTTTCTTATTTTGGTTACTGAAGTTATTTATTTGTTCAGTAAAACATTAGCTTCATACTGTTGGTAAAGCATCAAGATTGGATTATTTGCATTGTTTATTAAAGTAATAAAGTCAGGCACATAATGTAGTTTCCTTGGTCTTGCTTTCCACTGATGAAAATACTTAAGTTTAAAAACAATAGAAATGGGGAATTTTTTATTTGTACTGTAATGGCTGTTTAATAAAAGTTTCTCTGTAATATATAGGGCATGATCTCACATTCAGCTGTAATGCTATTTAGCTGGTTTTAGCAGCCCTCCTGGAAATACTAAATCTATCCTTTGTCTTTCAATCTTAGCTCAGATAGCGTAAACACTGTTAGCTCAGTACACAACGTGGCAACAAGTTGACAGGGGACGAAGGAGGGCTCTTTAAAGCTCGCATTGGTATTGAAGAAAAGCTTTTGGAGTCACAGTCATATTCAGTCATTTACTGCTTTGTATTTGGGAATCACAAAAGATGCTGTAAGTCAGAATGGTGAGTCTTAACGTCTAACTTTTCTGAACAATCACTTTCTAAATCCACATTTATGTACCAATTTAACGTCAGAATTGTTCATAGATGATGTTGCTATGTCAGCATCAATCCCCGAAACTGTCTCCACTATGTGGTGTTGAATGTAATTTTTAAATGTCTTAATTTGCTGACTCCTTACATCCTTAAAAAAGTTATGTATTGTCTCACTGTAATTCTGCTTTTGGACTTTTGCCTGCTTTGATTAATGTATTGTTCTGTGGAAATGCTTATTATGACTTTGCTTTTAAAAATTAAATCTTAGCATACTTAAATCTTCTTTTTAAGCTATTTTCCACAACAGTGTGGACAGAGAATTCAGCTGGCCAAACATTAACCTACAGTCAGTGTTCTTAATATAAATAATCAAGAGTATGAGATGAGTATATTTTTATAAAGTGGTTAACACCTACCTATCATGTCAGTTGTGTAACATCTCTTCTTTAAACAGCATGAACGTGGATGAAAAAACCCCACTTGGTTTCTCTATTATTGAAGTAATTTGAACAGGGTAGTGATACTGAACTTGATCTTCACGACACCTGAGCAGGATCTCACCAGTGCAGTGTTATTTATGAATTGTAACTTACATAGTTGTTGATCTAAGTTTATTAATGTTGTATATAGTGTTCAGCATAGCCGTAAGAGATTTGTCCTCAACAGTGAAGATCTAACACCTCAACACAAGCACTTGCATTACATACAGTGTATATCAGCTGATGGCTGTAAGTCTCAAAAGCTGTGCTAATGTTCTGTCTAGCTCTGGCGTTTCCCAAGTGTCTCTTCGGTAGAATTCCAATGGTTTGTATACTTCTGCTGCTGGATATGTGTACAAATACCCTGGCTATAACTGTACAGACTTTTAACGTTGTTTTCTAACTGGTTGCAGTTTTAATTCAAGCCTATGCCTCAGGAAAGAGTTTGAGGTTTTTCCTGAGTGAATACTTCAGCTACTCTTAAGTAAAATATGGATATGGTAGCCATGGCAACTCTGTTGCTGTCTGCAAGCCAGTGCTTGTAGCAAATCAAGTGTGTTGGGCCTTCAAGGAGGTACAGGTGGCCATTTGTTTGAGAGCAGCCGATATGAGTATTGTGGACTCAGGTGACTTAGCTCTGCCTTATCCTGCTTTATTAGGTATAGCTCTTAGTCCAAAACTGTCTTTCAGGACAGTGCAGTTTGAGAGCTAAGTAATGCAAAGTTACAGTCTTAGGAGATCTTGGGGTTTTTTTTCTAAACAACCAAACCATTCATTTGGTATGTTAAAGTAAACCATCCAATGCACTTGACTCTGTAATTATAGACCAAAGGAAATGTAAAAGACTTTTTTTTTTTTTTTTTTTTTCTTTTTTTTTTTTTCCCCACGTGAAAACTGAGCTAGTGATGGAGTTTGACCCATAATGGGAGGCATCCAGCAGATGGCATCAAAGAACTGGGAAACCCATTTTACGGTAAGCCCATGCCTAGGCTGAGAGTGCCAGTGCTGATTTTAGTGAAGTGAAACTTTGGCTGCAATGATCACATTCTCATTAATTGGTCGGTAACACTTCGAAATTCACTCATAAGTGATTGCTGTGCCAGCTCTGCTGTTCTGAGCATATTCAAAGCTGTGCAGATTGCAGGTATTTAAAATGATAGTGATTTCCAGATAGGCCATAGTATGGATATGGCTTCATTATGGAAAAGAAAAAAGCAGTTAGTAAGGTTCAACTGTGATTCCAGTGGCAGCTATAAAGCCAATGAGGACATTACTTCAATAAAGGACCCAAAGGGAGAATGCTGGTGAGGTGTGAAGAGCTTGTATTATCGCTGCTGTTCTTCAGTATCCTAGAAGTGGAATTGTCCATATATACACCCCTGGTGTTTAGGGAAAAGAAGGCTGTTCGAGTGTTCTTGTGAAAGCCAAAAGTCTTTCTGGCGCTGGATTTCAGTCCTTTGCCATTTGTTTTGTGACCCCACCCCCTAATTTTCTTTCTTTCTTCTGGTTATCATGGTGTTGGTATATTTTAGGCCATTTCACTAGGCCTTCTGGCACTACTAGAGTTTAGGCTTTTATGTGTATGGTGCATCTTTCCTGTTTGCTTAGTCCTTACTACAAACTGTATGTCCATGCAGCCTTGAAAATCTAGGTGCGTTTTTGCACATGTAATGTCCAGTTTCCTTTTATGGTTTGGACAACTGTGTTCGCAAGTCAGGCAAGTAATTACCCAACAAACTCTTTCAGATTAGTCTCTGAATTTTTGTGTTTTACAGAACATGCTGTCCCAGGCTATCATTTGATATTTTTATATGCATGGAATAGAACATACAGGAAACTCTTTATTGTTCTTAAGTTGTCATTGTAGAAGTTAATTTGCAGATTGTCCATCAGTTACTTGAAAGTGTTTGACAGATTCCTAGTTTTTCCTTTTAATAACCTTTCTCCTCCCTTGTGAATATATGCAACTGTTTTTCAGTTGACATTTATTCTGTTTAGTGCCCCATCTTCTAAGTACTTTTTATTTTTGGTAGATCGGAAATTTCTGTTAGATCGGAAATTTCTGTTATCTCTAATGTTTGCCCTACAGTTATCTTGTTCAGATAATGTAAGTCCATAAAAAAACCCCCGATCCTCTGTTCACTTCTGTACATGTCAGGAATCATTTAGCTGCACTTGACAATATACATTTTTTATATTGTCAAAATGCAAATAGTCATTCTCTGTATTGTCAAGGGGGTCACATTTGTAAAGTACTTCAAAGATGAAATGAACCGTAAAAGTGCCAAGCATTATTTTAATCTAAGAGCTTTGTTTAGAGCGTTGGGCCAGTGATCTCTTATGATCAATTAGGGACTGAATTAGCTATTCGTCTCCATATTTGTATTAAAGTACAGTTTCCATACTGTTTTTGTTTTGCCAGTCATAGAGCTGCCAGTGGCTGGCTTTTCACTTGGTTGCAGCAATTAAGCAGGTAAACTATCAAAACTGCAGCCAGTGAAATATGGCTCGTTTCAGTGTATGATGTCAAGGAAACTTAACTTACCAGTTTTTCAAAGTAGCCTGATTAAAAAAAAAATAATCTGTAAGACATAGTAGGACAAAATGATTATATTTTCAGGGGCTTGTTTGTGATTCTGTATCTTGTCAGTGGGTATAAAAATATTTTCCACATGATGATCTCTAGCATAACCTTCTCCAGTGGAACCCTCATTATTGCTCGTCGCTTTTGTATTGAAGACCCTCGGATACCATTACACTCCATAATATAAATGTGGTTGATAATTATTCAATAATTATAAGGAAGTGGTGTGTAGCCAAAGTACAGATAATTTTCTGGTATTAACTATCACTTCAAAGAGCACAAAGAGATTGAATGCTGAATACCAAAGCCATATTTTCTGTAGGAGCAACAGAATTAAGTAGTTTGGCTTGCATGAGTCAGTGGTTCAGATAATTTATCTAATGTTATTCTAATAGTCTGATTCATGAAAGAGAAAAAAAATGTGGATGTATGATAAGGTCTGACAGAAATTATTTACAACCAAGTTTGTCCTTATATTGATTGTATGAGTCATACAGAAAACCAAATTATTTTTGTAATTAAACGTTAGCTGCTGATTCGACTGCACAGAACGCAGTGCACCAAACACAGGCGTAAATGGCTATGCAGATTTCCCTCTGCAAGAGATGAAACAGGTTTACAGTTAAGGGGGACTGCATCCAGCTGTTAGAGATGTAATAAATTACCAACCTGAGTAGAACATCAGCCATTTACTGCAGAATTACAGAAATCTTTTATTTGCTGTTGCTCTCCAACGGTGGTTAGTGTGCTGTGACTTTGATCTCAGTTGGTAAACTGCAGGTATCATTAGGTGGCCCTCTATACTGGTGCCAGCAAACCCCACACTTGAGTCTGCTGAGTGGTGGGGTGCAGGGTTATAATGCAAGTTCGTCACAGGATTGCTTCAGGATAACCACTGTGGTCCAGTCTGGCATTATTGCCACTTGTACAGGGGAGAGGAGAGGCAAGATGTACTTGATGTTAAAAAAGTACTACACCTGGCCATTTCCTTAAGCTATTCAGAAAATTTCCTCTTTGCTTTCTCAACACAGCCCAGCACAAGTGAAGAAAAACATTGTTCAGTGGATTTTTAGATTCTGTTGAGTTTTACCTCTTCAAGCACAGTACAGAAGTCCATCATGTCATCACATGTTTGGATGATCTTCTTGCCTTGTTAACTGTAGCCAGTAGGACAGTGCATACCAGACTTATAGTGCCCAGGTAAAGTTACAACTTTTAAAAAATTATATTTACAGGTGAAATTTCTGCTGTCTAATAGGTGTCTGGGTAGAAATGTGAATTAAACCAGACTGATTGGTAAGGGCTAGTCATTGAACAATAACCTATAGCATGTAAGTATAAAACCTGACTGCCTTTGGGTACACAATAGCAGTAAATCAACTCAGATAAAAATTATTAATCTTAACACACATGGCTAAGGACCAATGGTAACTCTACACCCAACACTGTTTTTATTAACACTTCGGGGGAAAATAATAAAACTTTCATTTCTGTTGTGAAAGCTTTTCCTTTCCCCAGTTGCTTAATATTGCTATTAAAGGTTCATCCGTAAAAGCTTTAGTTTGGTTTTGAAAATGTCTCCCAGCACCAATGTTAGACATGTCTACACTCTCAAACAGCCTCTGGGGAAGTTTCTAAACTTCAGACTTGTCTCCCCTTTCTAGGGGCTAGAGAAGTGTTCGTATGTTTTTCATGTATGTGCGAAGACAAATACATTATAATAACTTAGGCTTTTGAAAAGAAGAGCAATGGATGTGTTTGCAGTGTTCAGGATAGCATTTATAGTGGTTGACTTTTGATGAGGGAAGCAAGGATAATTTCAGCCACAGATGGAAATCCTGGCAACTCCTGTGCTGCTTAGGTAGTTAGCTGTGTTAAACCCGTAAAAATGTGCCCCAAACACTTCACTGTTTTTTGGTTGGGTTTTTTTTTTTTTTTTTTCTTTTGAGGTACAAAGTCAAAATCATATTAAGGGTGACAGTACATTTTTCCCCTCCTTGGCTTATACAGTTGTTTACATGAAAGACGGCATTAGGAGATAAGAATTGTAAACAGATACATGGTTAGGTAGGTTAATACAAACATCTCCTTCCAAGTCGGTAGTTGAAGTCATTCATAGTCCTTGCTGTATCTGTAATTATTCTGCATATGGATAGAAATATTAGCAAACTGTTCATTTCATGTTTCTGGCCAAGATCCTTCATGAAGGCAGGCCTCTTTAAACTCTACAGCATTTCTTCTGCCTCTTTCCCCTCTCCCCAGCTACTTTTCCCACTGCAGAGAGTAAATCTGGTTGGCTTATTGAAGCAAGGTAGGAGTACACAAATACATATAGACCATCTAAGCAGATGGGACCATGCACTATGCACTTAGCAGAAAATGCTGGTACAGCGCATATGCAGACAAATAGAAATATTAAGAATTACTATTTTTTTTTAAAAAGGAGCAAAATGGACCTCACTGTAGAAGAGTTTTGGCCATGTTTGCACATTTTATTATGGTCATGATCTTTGATTTTATGGAAGTGGTAACAAAATCAACTGTAGAATTTATTTTACTAGTTAATTTGTTCTACAACATTTGATGGAGCTACAGTTGGGGATGTTTTTCTTTCTGTTCTTTTTACTCTCCAGCTTTGGACATTAGTGATAAGGAGTAGCTGTATGACTGCTTGTGGGTGTTACTGTGAGATCACTGTTGCAGTGGTTTTGCAGTTATTCTCTCCCAGATTATCCCCCTCACAGTTCATTCCTATGTGATGTAGCCAGCGAGGAGATAGTGATATTTATTAACAGCCAAGGAATACATTATAGCACTCATGTTTACCTGCACAGTTGCTTCTCTGGCACCTCGTTATTGCAGGCACCTGGGATGAAGAATTGGATATATGATACTCTATAGGCAGCTGTGGGTTGGTTGGTTGTGGGTTCCTTGTTTTTTAAGTTATTGAAGAAACAGTAACTAGAGGGCACAAACTACAAGTTCATAGTCAGCTTTGCTTTGGATACAGTAGCTGTCAGACTTTAACAAAAAAACCCTCGTATTTTACCTATATGATATTGTTACTTTCTACTGTGGTAGCTGCCTCTATCTCAAATGAGACTTGGAACTTTCACCGTACTTTTAATGCTCACCAACCAGTATTTTGCATTTCAGCTACATGTGCTCTAAGTGACACTTAGCTTTTTTTTTTTTTTTTACATCTAGCTTGAGCTTTGCATGCTTTCACTTTTCCATGCAACAGACTGCTAAGTAGCTGTCTGTATTTATATTGCTGTTTGGTGACATCAGCATAAGAATTTCATGTCAGGTTGACTTTTATTTATTGTCACTGGCTAGAACTTCTTGACACATAATTTTATTGCCATTAGATTTGATATGACAAACATCTAATAAAATAAAATTGCATTTCATTTTATATCAAAGCGAAGATTTATTTAATATCATCATGAAGTTTCTAACTGATGCCTGTTGCTATGACAACATGCAGTAACTTTGTGGCTAGCATAGGAATTATCTCAAGAATTTCCTGGGTTTCGTGTCAAATATGAATAGCTTGCAAAGCTTTCTGTATACTAAGCAGGTCATGTGGGAGAAAGATCACAGGTTTTTTCCTTCTGCTCCTTAAATGCTGGTTTCAATTCCCCCTTATTTCAAAGGTGAAGTTCTTCTCGATGTGAAAAGCTGATACAAAAGTTAAGAAATTCTTCAGAGTAATTTGTCTGTAACCTATTTTAATTTGTCCTTTATACTGCAATGGAGAATACAAAGTTTGCTTTTTATTCCACAGTAGATTTGATGCATTGATAATGAGCTGTGGATCAGGCTTGGCTATAGTCCACATGCTTCCTAGCACGCTGAAAAATATGCATTTAGGCTCTTACTTTTCTCTGCTTACATGGTGACCTGTAGCTTCATGTTGAAATGCTTATATTTCAATTAATGGGGGTGTATAGATGCTAAGATAATGAACACCATTCACAAATAGGAAAAACAAATTAATCATACAATTAAAGTAACGTAAAATGAAAAAGTGATTAATTCAGGGCCAGAAGAAATCAATTCCCCTTGGCTGTAATGAATTCTGAAAGGAGCAAATAAGAGAGATTCTCTATAAATGTAACTTTTCTGAAAAATCTCAGCTATTTCCAGTGACTACCTCGTCATTAATGTGTACATCTAAGTTTATACTATTGTTCAAATAAGGCCACAAAGTTGGTTGTTATGCATCGATGTACTGCTTACACCTAGCTGAATTATATGAACCAAACTGTGTCACATTCTGTTCTGTTAATCATCATAATGAAAGGAGAAAGTTCTAGTTCAGCTTTGAAAATGCTGCTGTCTCGGTCTTTTGGTTGTGAAATAGAACTGAATTAATGAGCTACAGTATGCATAATTATACAGGAGCAATTTATTTAAGGCACAAAGCAAACATGGAAATTTGCAACAACGCAAAAAAAATAGAATTATTTCAATTTCACAGCTATTATGTTTCATTTGGAAGCAACGGAGTAAGAAAGATCTAAGAACCAACTTACAGCTTGCTGTGAAAAGGTGACACCAGCAACGTTTGAAATGTCTATACTATATTTTATAGGCAACAGAAATGCAGTAGGGTTTTCTGTTCACGGTGCATTAATGAGTTCCATCCTAGCTATTTCTAAAGGTGTTCTGAGCTCACATGGAAAAACAAACACTGCTTTGGAAAAACACCTAAGCTTCATTTTTATGTATACTTGTGCAGATTTCCTGAATTCATTGCTGTTGCATTTGTACAAAATCACTGTGTTTGGAATTAGGGGTGGAAACACAATGAGAAAATAAGTTTCATTTTTGTTTCCTGTGCTGTCTTTTGGGATTTTGTATTGGTGTTAGTACCTTCATTAAAAGTCATTGAATTTCCTGGCATTAGGACTTTTTCCCACACAGAGAAAGCTGTGGCATTCCCTCTAAATTCTTTCTTTTACCTAGATGTGGAATATTGCAGAGTTTATAGGGAATCTTACGATTGTAGTTGGGAACAAGAAGAGATGATGCTTTCAGACATCCAAGCCTTTTTTTATGTCTGAAACAGCTTTGCGGATGATCTTAGCCATTACAGACACAGCAGTGTGGAGCAGGAAAATCAACAATCTGCCTGCTTTTCCCTGTGGTTGACATTTCAGTTTCGTTGAAGAATTAGAGTTGACCCTTGTCTGCTAAACCATTACTGAGTGCCCCAGACACATTAGGCTAGAGGAAGGAAGTGAATTAAGCATAAACTTTACCACTATCTATAATGTGGTGAATGTAAGACCACACATGCAAAGATCTCTGCCTTAGTAGAAGCAAATGTCCTCAACTCAAACTCTGCAAAGGTTGGATGTGATTTGCATTAAGCAAATAGTGTACATTTTTCCTAGACATATTAAAATTGACTCAAAATCAGTACCAAAGCCTGTGAGAAATACTGGTTTAGAACAAAAAGCAGCAATTGGTCTGATCTCTTAAGAGAAAAGGCAAAAGCAGAAATTGGGAAAAAAGGTGACTGGCATATGTATAAATTTTTTAATGACTCAGCAATGTAATTTTCAAGATTTTATTATTATTTTTCACAAATGGAAAATCTGAAAAAGCACATGTCATTACTCATCATATTTCCTTTCTGCCCTGTGGCTTAGAAAGGGGTAAAATCAGTAGGCAAGGCAGCATTACTGTGAGAAGAAAGGACACAGCCATTTTATAAAGAATAATGAGATGAAAAATACAGTAAAGCCTACAACTGTTCCTTCCTTGATTATTGATATTGAGCTTTATTAGAGCATTTAAAAGCTTGGAAGGGATTATAGTCATAGTGCTGGCTACCATGGAAATGCCACTTCAAATGATAAACCCCTTAGAGTGACACTGGTATTTCAGAGGATATCACAAGTAATTATTCAGGTGAAGAAGTGAATTTTTAGTAGCTCTTCGGAATTGATTTCTTTATTCTCCCCCACCCCCTTTTCTCCTGCCTTTTAAAAAGAGCTAATCTTATTTCATCTCTGTTCTCTATGAAGCAGGTATTTGGAATGCTTATCTCGGCTTTCCAAAGCAGTGTACAGTACAGTGATTGCAGCTAAACCCACACCTCTCCCTGGTGCCTGCAAAATGTTAAAACAGAAAAGAGTGATTGTGTTTTGGTCCCCAAGGAGAGGAAAATTCTTTGCCTTTAACTGTTGTAACAGTATGAGTGGAACAGAGCCAGACAGCTGTGATGTCCAGTCTATTGTAGCTGAAGACACAAAATGCATGTAGTTGTCCTGGTTTCAACTAGCTATTTGTCCAGACCGAGAAAAGGTGGATTTTGAGTGTGGAAATATATTTGGAGGATCGGGAGGTTTGGATGCCTGTTTTTTAGCCACAAAGTACAGCAGTCATTGAAAGACATGCTGACATTTATACACTAATCCTTATGGGTTTACTTTTCAGAGGGGGTTCAAATTGTGTTATATTGTATCTGAACTGGTTCATAACAGTTAAGACAGGCAAGCATTCAGGCATGCAGAGGATATCCTTTTGAGTACAGTGTGATTTATAAAGAGAAGTTTAAGCACCATAATTCTGCTGCCTTCTTTTAGAGATTGCATCTGTTATTCTCAGAGAATCATAAAAAACCTATCTTTTGCATAAAGATCCAATCAGTGCTAGAAGCTTCACTAAAACAAAATATTTATACTCTGTGTCCCAGGGACATCACAGCAACTGTCCAACTATTTTGTGAAGCTATATATTAACATTCTCCAAACCACAAATTCATCATGAAGAAGTAATTTTTAGGCTAGAATTGCAGTTAAGAAAAAAGAATCTAAATCCATTGGAGGTATCTGTTTTACAGTAATTTCATCTGGTGACTTAGAACTGAAATCTCTGGATTTAAGTAGAAGAGATAAATCTTATCAGAGAGACTTTCTTTCTGTTATTAAACCCAGTCTGCTTGCAGATCGTATAAGCATGGAGCTGAGAATTCACCATTGTACAGAATTTAGAAAATTAAATTATGGCAATGAAAATCCTCATGGAAGGACTAATAATTCCGCCATTACCAATGCAATGAAACCAAGACTTCAAACACAAATGAGACCTTGAGCTCCTTGAAGTCTGTCTTATGTCATCAGCAGAGGATGAATTCCAGCCATTTAACCAGGAGCAGGGATGGGTGTATTCTAAAACTTCACCAAGAGTTTTGCCTGACATGTACTGACACAGCTTTCCGGACAGTTTACCCACAGAGGATTCAAAAATGTTGCAAACGCCCTTCTTGGCACATAAAGTAGTTTTGGTATGT